GCTCTTTCTAGCTGGGCTGGGAGTTGACTGCATGGTAGGACGACTCGCGATATCTACCTCACTCACGGGTCCCTCTTTCTAGATGGGCTGGGAGTGGATCGTTTGGTTGGGTGCCCCCTAGGGTCACTCTTTCTAGCTGGGCTGGGAGTGTACTACTGGCTGGGTGGAGTCTGATGGATTATCTTAGTTACTTTGGGTTGGGAGCCCGGTTTTCTTCTTTCTCAGTAGACTTAGCCTTGCTGTGTACCTGTCGGGCTTATGGGGGTCCGTTCAGGTTTTATTTAAACTTGCGCACGAGTGTACCTTCTAGGCTTATGGGGTTCCAGTTAGGTTTAGTTTAGTTGTACTTAGTTTGTTTCTGGTATGCTCGTGTGCTTTCTTTTCTTATCCGCTTTGACCTCTCTGTGTCTAGATTCTATCCTTTCTTATTGTTTTACCTTCTAGAACGAATTTAACGCTAAAATTACATGATTGGCGTGTGGGTGAACAAACCCACACTATGGAAGCTTACATACCTGAAAGAACATCTTATTGAAGCAACGTGAAGGAAAACCTTTGAAAGATGAACCCTAGCCTTAGCGTTCTCTTGAATTTCTTGAGCGTAGAATCTTTGGAGTGAATGAGAGGGTTTAGATTTAAGAAAACTGGATTTTCTACACGTTTTAGGGGCAATTTAGATGACCTCCTAAGGGTTTTTAGGACTAAAATACCCTTAAAGAAATAATTAAAACGAGTTGGGAGTCGGAATAATTTTTCACCAGGCAGTGAGGTCAGTATTGGCTCCGCGTCACAGAGCCATCGCGGAGCTGCTACCAGGTTTGCGCGTCGTTAGTAAATCAGTCATAACTTTTTACTCAGAGCTTGGAATTTAGAAAACTCGGTGGCGTTGGAAAGAGGACTTGAAGGGATTTAATTTTCTTTCTTGTAGCGCACTAACTCATCATGTACTAGAAGTTATGGTCGTTTGAAATTGATCCAAAACTTAAGAAAAACTTAGGAATGACTTGAATGAACTCTCTTTAGTTCTTCTTGGAACTCAAGGTACTACATCTAGTGACCTTAATACTCAAGAAATTTTAAATTCCTTGCAAAAATCTCACTCACTACGAAGAACGGTTCGAGTCTTAGCTCAAAATTTTCTAGGGTGTTACAGATAAATACCATGTGTGAAAGCTAAACAAGAAGGAAGAGAAATTATTTTACCTAACATATAATGGTATTTATTATATAAATTATGATTAAATATTTACTTTGATAAATTAAATCTTAGCCTTTAAATTTAATTTATGGCATATATCAATTATCCAAGCAAAAAATTGAAAAACAGGAGGAAATAGTACTCGAAGGAACAAGGTAATTACACATTTACACCACATGTCATCTTACTTATTTTTTTAAAAAAAATTATTATTACAAAAGATTATATAAATAGTAACTAAACTAATAAATTTCCCTTTTTAGTGATTCACTTACATTTGAGTAAATGTTAATTGGTTCCGAACTTATGATTAATGAAAATATTCTTTTTGATAAGTAAACTTAGTGGACTTTAAGAGAATTTCCCTAGTCAAAATTCATGTAATCTTTAACTTATAGATAACTAGTTAGAACATTGACTATATATATTATTAGTCAACAAATCAATAATATTTTTTTCAAATGTGACTAATAATTATTTGACCAAAGTAAATGTATCCCTTTGAAAAAACGACTATATAAATCACTTTCCTCTTCTTTTTTCACTTATTGAGTTTTTTATATATACAAAAAAATTCCTATATTTTTAATAGCAATAACTTCAAAATTAACCAGGACTACAAGCCCGGTCAATGACCACCACTGGTACATTCACGGGCATAGTGACCGTCCTCACACCATGTGTACCAACCACCACAACCGCCTCGGCCACCATCAACGGAGTATCTACCACCTCCACCGTCGTCGCCTTCATTCTAGTTATACTCCAAAGAGATGTGGCCAGATTCGCTTGAAACAACCACTTCCTCCACCAACTCCTCTGCCACCATATCTTCCTTCTCCACCGTATCCACAGTTACCGTATACGATTGAGGCGGAATTTACGTCGGCGGAAGAGGTTGAGGAGGAAGAAGTTGTTTTTAGTGTGGCGAGTCTAGCCACATTGCTAGGGTGTGATCCAGAGTGAAGGCAACAACAGAGAAGCTAATAGATACCTTGATGGTGGTGGCCATGGTGGTGGTGGTCATGCTATGTTAATTAATAATTTTATTTTAGAAAATCATATATAGTCTTAATTAGTTGATTGACAAATGTAAAAACATTAGCCATTGAATATACATTTCGGAGATATCACATTTTCTATCAAAAGTTTTATCATAATTTGAAGATTTCATTGTTTAACTCTCTTAAGAGATTTAGTTTCCCTATATATTGGGATAGGATCGATTAGAAAGATACTTGAAGGGATATAAGCATTTTCCTTCTATATCTGTCTTTACCTTAACTATATCTTAGTTAAAAATTATGTAATTAGCTTTTTGTTTAATTGTTATATGTAGATGGATATGCTAAGTCGGTGATTGTATACATGTTATCTGATAATTCAAGAAGCCTGCAACTTTTTAAAAAAAAATAATAGTTTTAAGCCACTTAATTATTGATTTGCTAAAGCTAGTTTAAGTAACAACATTGTGGTTTTCAGTTGCAAAGGATAAATATATTTCAGATTTTCTTAAAAAGATTCAATAAAGAAGTAAGTGAGATTCAATATTTGTAGAGAACAAACTTTATTTAATTTTAACCTATAAAAAACAACATGCAAATGAAATTTAATATTTGTAAATTGAATATTGGTCTTCCCCCAAAAATGACAAATAGCAAAAGTAAAAATATTTTAACTTTCCATTATTTGTGCAGGGTGGGTGAGACGTTACCAGTTAGAAAATAGAAAAAGATAATAACACATGTAAATTTATAATGATAGTCATGTACTAAATTACAAAAACTAAATGTGAATATATCATTCACACCTACCAGAATATAAAACATAAAAAATATTGCTTAACTAAGAGTGTGTTTGGTTCCCGTAATGAAATTTTTGTTTGTTTGTTCTGAAAATTAAGTCAATTATGTATTTATAATAATATACTTTTTATATGGCAAATAAATTAATAAATATCATTGAAAAACATTTACATGTAGCCTAACGAGTAGTGAACTTGCATTGAGATTTATCATGCTACTATTTTGTTTAGAATAGTCATTTTTTCATTTCAAGCAATTTATATGAACAATGTATTTTACTAAAACAACTCAAATGCCATGTAAATTCATTATTAAAGAAAATGTATCCCCTAAGAAACGACTTTATAAATAATTTCACTAACAAAGACTTCTCTGTATTCAAAAGATTCCTTCAATATTTTCAAATGGTAGAGAGAGAAAACAGTGTTTGAGCTATGGCGACGACAGATGTAACACCTTTTGAGGTTTGATATAGAGGTGTGAGGAAGAGGCCAAAGGAAAAGTATAGAGTTGATAATACAACCTCATCCATAAGGTACGTGTCTGGCTTGGGACCTTTGATATGAAAGAAGAAGCAGCAAGAGCATATGATAATGCGCCGAGGATATACCGTGACCCTTAAGCCAAAC